ATAAAATAGAATACATTCATCAAGAATCATAAGATGCAACACTTAGTGATAGTCATAGGTTACTAATAAGCAATCAAATCATACTAGGAAACAAAACAATCTGAATTGTAAAGATACAAGCAACATGGTTATAGTCATAAGTGGGAAGAGATAGGCACTAGGAAGGATGAGAAGAATACAGTCTTAGTAAATAATTTGACAGTGTTGTGGGAATTTGTTGTTTAGCAGAATGATGGCATTCGGGGGAAAACTGTCCTTGTGTCTAGGTGTTCTGGTGTACAGTGCCCCATAATATCATTTTGAGGGTAAAATTTGAAACAATTTATGTCCAGGATGTGAGGGGTCTCTAGATATTTTCACAGCCCTCTTTTGTGCAGTATATACGTCCTCTATGGAAAGCAGATTGGTAGCAATTGTTTTTTTTGCAGTTCTAATTATCCATTGACAGACATTACCTTTGTCTGTCTTGTTTGGTTGCAGAGCCAAACCAGACAGTTATAGAGGTAGAGATGACAGACTCAATAAAATAAGAGGACATTGCCAAGCAACAGCCTGGCTAAACAAAGGGCTTAACAAGGCCATATATACAAAACATTTCTTTTTTAAAGGAAATAAATAAATCCCAATAGGTTTGTCGAGGGGGACTGCAGCTCTGCAAGAAACAGTCAAAAAAGTCTTCTTGCAATTGCTTTTGGATTGCTACATGAGCAAAAAAGTCTAAGTCCTAATCACACTCCACCCTTTTTTTGACAGCAGCATCAAGGGAACTTGGACACCAACTCCTTTGCTGCTAATAGTTGCAAGAATGTAAAAGGAGATAACAATGATAATATTTAGATGTTTAGACAACGAGGAGGTGCTAAGCAGTTGGTCAATTGCTGGTCAAGAGAACACCATCCTAGAACAATAATTCAGTAAAAAATAGTAGGACAGAATTCTACCTGAAGTTAATTGGGAAGCATTTTTGAACCCAGGATAGATCAGCTTAGAATTCTTCTGGGCAACATCTATCAGGACAAACCACACTGAACCCAACAACAATTCCCATGAATGCTGCATTCTATACATCCATTCTTTTACCACTATGCTGCCTATGTACAAGTGGGAGGGTAAGTATGAGAACAATGAAATTGTGAAAAGAAGAGGTGATCGCCCTTATAAAATTGAAATGGATACATTGCTGTTTTATTCCAGAGTCACATGGTGATAAGCTAGTTGGCTAGTTGCACATATCCTATGATATCTTTTAAAAAGTTGGATGCTTTCTTCCTGTGCTCTGATGTAAGAAGGATGGTCATATTGTTGAGTTTCTATTGCCATCTAGAGGCTACTAATAGTTCCAACATGTCTTTCTGAAGAGTAGAGCAACTTTTAGAAGAGTCGACATTGGTTATTACTCGGCCAATGAGAGGAGCAGCCTGGAAATTGAGCACAGCCACGTTATGTTAGAGAGCTTACTAGTCTTAGCAACACCCAGGTCACCTCTAAGACCTTCGGCTCATGTATTTCACTGGATATACGGAAACATTGCAGAGAAATAAATGTTTCCCTTCATTTAACATGTTACAAATACAGGGCTGCAGAGATTGCAGGCTGGTAGTAAAGAATAACAGCGAATGTTGTCCATGAAGCCTGAATGTATTATTAAGAATACAGAATAATAATAGAGTTGGAAGGGACCTTGAAAGTCTTCTTGTCCAACCCTCTGCTCAAGCAGTAGACCCTATACCAGTGGTGGGTTGCAGGCAGTGCGCCCCGGTACGGGCATATCGGTGCCTGCGCAGAGCACCGTGTACCGTTCCGGTATGGTGCTCCAGAGGGCCCACCTGCCTGCCTGAGCTCCTTACCTGTATTTGAGCTCTTTGGCGCGTCCGCGCACAGGTGCATGGTGCCTGCGCGATGCTCCGCCGAACAGCTGGAGCATCACGGAGGCGTCGCAAGAGGAAATGTGTGCATTCATGTGGTGAACCGTACCGGTTGCACCGGGATCTGCAACCCACCACTGCCCTATACAATTTCAGACAAGTGGCGGTCCAGTCTCTTCTTAAAAGCCTCCAGTGATGAAGCATCTATAACCTCTGAAGGCAAGAACTATCAGGACTACTGTTTTGATCAAAGAAACAACTGAACAGTTTCACTATATATGGCCATATGCTCCAAAGGGAAAATCAGCTTACAAAATTAAGAATCTATGTATACTGTAACACTGAAATATCCACAGGTATGTGATTGGTGCTTTCCTTAAGAGACCTGGAAATAAAATTTCCACCAAGAAACCTTCCCCAGATGTTTTTATTTTCTGGATTTACAAAAATGGTTATTAAAAAAGGAGAATTTTCGATGGTCTATCCCAGAGATGGCGAACCTTTTTGGCACCGAGCGCCGAAATTGGAATGCACGGGCACCGGAGCACTGGAAACCTGAAGACCAGCTGGCCGGTGCACATGCTGGCCAGCTGGTCTTTGCGTTTCCTGCGCGCACATGCTCACCAGCCAGCTGGTCTTTGGGTTTTCGGTGCTCCAGCATGCTCGAAGACCAGCTGGCTGGCGCACATGCCAGCCAGCTGATCTTCGTGTTTCCTGTGTCCACATGTGCACCGGGCAGCTGATCTCCTGTTTTTTGGCGTTCCGGTGTACTTGAAGACCAGCTTGCTGGCGCGCATGCATGCCCCTGAAACCAGAACAGCAGCTGGCAATGGCGCATGTGCCCACAGAGAGGGCTCTGTGTGCCCCCTCTGGCATGCGTGCCATAGGTTCACCATCACGGGTCTATCCTTTCCCCAAAGATATTTGCTAGCCATATATATATATATTAGTTCTCCACAATTTTTAAAATGTATCTGCTGAACTGGTTCATCCAACTCTTGTTATTGAGGTTTTACTTGTTATTGAGGGAAATAATTTTTATTATGATTTTATTCCGAGGGATTTTTTTTTCATTCCACTCATAGATATATAAGAAATGCATTGAGAAATGTCCACCGCCTTTGCAGGCTAATGGCGATAGGTGCTACCCCCGTCGGGGTTTTTGCTGGCCACCAAAGTACTCACGCCTCTGAGGAATAGCAAGTTGCACTTTAAATCAGTCTTTCTTTCTCTCTAGCAATTTTTCAAGGAAAACAGGATGACACAGCCGTCCAGATGGGAACTGAGTCGATAACTGGGTATACCTGGTGACTAGGGCATGGTGTAAAGAGCTTATCGGACTCAGTCCAATCAATGAGGATGAAGTTAACCCATCCTGGATACTCCTCCCCTCACTATGAAGAACAGCTCCCAATCAGTAAAATAAATGTAAGAATCAAAGGCTCTGATCAAAAAACAAGAACAACTGTCATCATTTTATAAGTATAAATACTCCAATTCATCTCCAATCAAGTAATTGGTTGATTTGTTCAATCAGATTTTTAACACCAGTCTCAGAAACACTCACTAGATCGATGAGTTCAGACATATTTAAGTCCTTCTTCCTGGTTCTGATTGACAAGCGATGCTTTTTCCTGAATAAAAACACAAAAGTTTGATTGTGAAGGGACTGCATTCATAATAACAGAGAAAATATACTTCAGACCTTAGCATAAGAAGCTGTAATATACAAGTCAGAGCACTGGTCCAATTTGTTTCTTGAGCAAGCAGTGAATCTTTGATGTACTTACTTAAATTTAAATTTATAATTTGAGGTTGGAATATTTTACAGTCTAACAAGAGATTCAGGAACTGAAATACAGACTTTCTCCATGCAAAAAGTCTCCCCTACTGCTGCATTTTGGTCTTACTCAGAATATCCAGCAACTAAATAAGGGGCTACTTACTGTACAAGCTTAGTCAATTGCCTGATGCCCACAAAAAGAGTTCTGGAAAGTGTGCTAACAATGCTTAGCAAAACCAAGTGGCAGATACTTCATCTCAGTGGCAATCCACTGAGGCAGAGGTGTCAAATTTGCGGTCCGCGGGATGCATCACACGCTGGCCACGCCCACCCCCGTATAGCGAAAGGGGGAAAGTCATGATATATCACATGATGACAATGTGACGCCTTGAGTTTGATACTCCTGCACTAAAGTGTCTTCAGTGTATACACATGAATATTCAAGTGACTCTTGTGGTCTTATTAAGACTTTTAAAAGTTACATAGTCTGGAGCAAAACTTCCCAATCTAATGGTTTCTACATGTGCAGATTCCACAATTACCAGTCAGCATGGCCCATTAATCCAACACATTCAGAGAAAACAAAAAAAACTGTGCTAAGATCTATTTTGTCATAGATGTAACATCTTTTTGCAATATCTTATACCACAATTCATTGGTCTTTAAGGTCACATGCTGTTTCTAATGTAAAATGTGGCCCAAAGAAGTGTGCTTCTTAATGGGCCAAACCCCACCTATTTGTGGGATACACATCAGAATCCGCAAAGTCTGTACAATAATTTTATTGGGGAAGGCGATACAGTTCCTATCTCCACATCACCTGAATGAACAAGAAGATTCTAATTATGGAGCTATCAGAAAACATGGCCCAAAATGCAGTGTTTTGAGGATAGGACCATCCAGCAGTGGTTCCATATTTATTTTAACTAACAATTAAGGACATTTTTTTCATTCAGACCGTTATTGAGATATTAATGCAACAAAATATGTTTAATGCAACATTTGTCGCATTATAGTATAATTGCCAATTGACATGTGTATTTGCTTTTGGTTTTTTCTGGATGTTTCAACTGATTTGCTGTTATGCTGCACTCTTATTGCTTGGAATTCAACTCATGGGGTCTTTTCAAAGGAATGGAACAATATTATTAATAAGGTATATAAATAATTGTTACAAGAGGGAGAATCCTCTAGTTTGTAATTTGGGGTAAGCAGAGAATACGGAACTAATTATCTGAGTCAAAATTTGTTTCACTCATGATATGAATATCTGAATGGGTCAAAAGAGTGATTATGCAGCATTTAAGCTGAATGAATATCTGGTAGAAAAAAATATATTAAAAAACGAAAGCAAGTTAAGAAGCAAATAACCTACCCATTATCTCAGTAATGTACATCCTGCCTGCCAATTGTCTCTTTCTCCCTTCTCCACCCAGGACATCCCAAGAAAGTCACATACTTTTTAAAGGGAAAACAGAGAAGCAGCAGAAGGATCATGAGTACGATGGGAGCAACAGATCCTAAACTTCCAATGAGTTGGGAAGATGGGAGTTTGAAGAATGATGTGAGCTCCATGTTCTCCGTCAGATGAGCAGCCATAAATCCACAGAGGGAAGTGAAACTGAAAGAAAGAAAGAAAACAATAAAATAAACAAAAGGATTTGTATGGGAGTATGTGTGTGTATGGGAGTACATGGTGCATTTTACAAGAACAAATGAAGTTCATAGAAATCCACTATCGTATGTTTGCAGAATTTATTCTCATGGTAAGGATCACAAATTAAGACCTTCCCCATTGCAGTTTTCAGGAGGCCCATGTCTCCTGAAAGGCACCATTTGCACACAGAAAGGTATGATTCGGCTCCTGGCACCTGCATGAAAAAGGACATGATAACAGCCACTGCTACACATAAGACCAAGAGCTTTCTGCCAATCAGGATTACACTCCTGGGCTCAACAGAGAAAACATCGAGATGGATATACAGGTAGACCTCGACATATGACCACAATTGAGCCCATTTCGGGTATCTGACATAAGCTGACCAATGACAATAAGGAGCGTTAAAGGGGTGGTTGTTTGTTGCTTTGCAACTGTATTTAAATCATGTATTCATATGGCTTATTCACTTGCATGTTCCCCTTCCCGTTGGAGTTGTTCGCCGCCCTGAGTCCCTTTTAGGGAATAGGGCGGCATATAAATAAAATAAAACTTCAAACTTCCCATGGATGTGTAAAGGGCTGACACATTTTCTGTTTACATTTTCTTTCTTGAAGAAAGTATCACAATTTTTTTTTGCATCATGGAGACTTTTGTAATTTTGAATCTTTGATATTTTTTTTCCAATATCATGTGTCATGTGCCAGAAATCAGAAAACAAGGCTGTTCAAATGCATACACGATTATTCCATGCTACCTCTCTATAGCAATAGCAATAGCAATAGCAA